AAAAAAAAAAAAAAAAAAAAAAAAAAAAAAAAGAGCATCTGTCCACCATAGTTCCATGCCTAGCAATTTGGAAAAATAACAGTTTTATTATTTTAATGTTTACTTATTTTTGACAGAGAGACAGAGTGTGAGCAGGGGAGGGGCAGACACAGAGTCCGAAGCAGGCTCCAGGCTCTGACCTGTCAACACAGAGCCCGATGCGGGGCTCAAACCCGAGATCATGGCCGCAAGATCATGACCTGAGCTGAAGTCTGACGCTCAACAACTGAACCACCCAGGTGCCCCAACAGTTTAGTTATTATAGAGGCAGCCAAGAAAGAACTTCAGACAAGTGAATGATGTCAGAAATATAGTTCTTTGTTTTGGACATGTATTAATCTAATCTATCATGCCTCTAGCAAATTATAGAGACCCAAACTAGAATAAAAATTTCTATTTTTATAGAAAATAGTAGGAAAGAAGATACTTGTAGGTTTCATGAGAGAAACCTGAGAAAAAAAAATCTCTGGAAAAAAAAATACAGAGAAAAAAATACACGGGGCCTCTAGGTAATGATTAATTACATATAGTTTGCCTGGTAAATCCTCTGCCTCAGAATTATCTGGAAGGTTTTATCCAAACTCCTTGTTAGGTCACTTCAAGGCACTGTGCAGTTATTAAGTAATGCTAGTTTTCTAAACAAAATTAAATATATCGCAATGGGCTGCCATATTACTTAATATACATGGAGCTGCCTTTTAAAAACGATCCTGTTGAAAGGACCAATACATTGGTACCAAAAGCCCCTCTGACTATAATTAAAAATGGAGCTTTAAAAGATTGCTGTTGAAATAAGTCATTTGGTAATTCCCTTTTGAACATAAGTTTAAACAATAGCTTTTTAGTTGCTTAGCAAAATATTTATTACAAATAAATTATGCTCAAAATAAGCATAGTGTATTAAAATATAGATATTCCTTACAGATCATTCTTTCTCTTGGATAAATTTACCCTCTCTCACAAAAAGATTCCAGAATGTGGCAGGTGGGTGGTGCATGTAGTCTTACAGCCTGAGCAAAGCAAACTTAGGAACAGATTTTAAAAAATAGATTAAGTGTTTTCTAAGCTACTGCTTGCCTACACTAGCCAGCTGAAGGCTTTAAATAATTTAATCCCTACAACAACTGCCAGCTCCAACTGGAAGCCTTACACAAGGACTGGATTCACTGAGGACTCCAACAGGTGCAGTCTAATAGTGCTTCCCTAAATCTGCTACTGATCTATGTCTGTGCATGTGCAGCACACTATATTCTTAAATTCAACAGGACACTAATTAAATTAATCCAATTGTCTCTTGTTTTGTCTCCTCTTCCACTATCATATTACCTAAGACATTCATCTGTTTTTTTCCAGAGAAACACTTAGCATATGAGTTTGCTTTTAATGTTGCTTTTCTAAGCAAAGCCCTCTTAATACAGTGTAAGTTTTGGAAAGCAAATTAACTAGCAAATTACATTCTTCCTATTGTTATTGTTCTTTCTAGCCAACTGACTTTTCTATATTAGCATTTACTGAGTACTGTTAGTTCTATTAGTACTATTATTAGAGTTGCTCAGACTTTTTCCTCTTACACCTTTTTAAGATGTATAAGAATGTACTTGTTTATATATTCAAATCTATTTCAGAGAAAATTCACACATTCCTTTTATAAAATCAAGCTGGGGTGGGGCGCCTGGGTGGCCCAGTCAGTTAAGCCTCTGACTTAAGCTCAGGTCATGATCTCGCGGTCCGTGAGTTCGAGCCCCGCGTCGGGCTCTGTGCTGACCGCTCAGAGCCTGGAGCCCGTTTCGGATTCTGTGTCTCCCTCTCTCTCTGACCCTCTCCCATTCATGCTCTGTCTCTCTCTGTCTCAAAAATAAATAAACATTAAAAAAATTGAAAAAAATACATAACTTATTAAAAAAATAAAATCAAATCAAATCAAGCTGGGGTAACCTTTTTAATCAAGTTAAATCAAAAAACAAAAGACCACTATCATGCTCTCAGTAATCCATATATTATGATACTATAATAAGATTGTTGTCAAACATTCAGTAAAAAGAAGTTTAAAAGCCAATAGCTATCTGGACGTCCATATGCAAGATAATGAAGTTGAATCCTATATGGACACCATATGCAAAAGTTAACTCAAAATTAAGACCTAAATGTAAGACCTGAAACATAAATCTTCTGGGAAAAAAACATAGGAGAAAAACTTCAGGACATTGGATTTGGCAATGATTTCTTGGATATGACACCAAAGCACAGGCAACAAAGCAAATATACCTAAATGAGACTACATCAAACTGTACAACTTCTGTGCATCAAAGGAAACAATAAACAGAGTGAAAAATCAACCTATATAGGAAGGGAGAAAATATTTGCAAATCAAATATATATTCAAATATATAGAAGGAATTCTTACAACTCAACAACAATAAAAACAGATAATCCAAAGAAATAGGCAAAGGAGGGAACCTGGATGGCTCAGTTGGTTAAGCCTCCAAACACTCTTGATTTTGGCTCAGGTCATGATCTCAGTTCATGAGATCAAGACCCGCATCTTTGGCTCTGTACTAATAGCACAGAACTTCTTTAGATTCTCTCTCCCTCCTCTCTCTCTCTCTCTCTCTCTCTCTGTCCCTCCCCCTTCTTGTGTGTACTCTCTCTCTCTCAAAATAAATAAGTAAGCTTAAAAAAAAATGAAACTAAAAATGGGCAAAGGACTTGAATAGACATTTTTCCAAAGAAGATATACAAATGGCCAACAAATATATGAAAAAATATTTAACATTGCTAATCATAAGAGTCACGCAAATCAGTATCACAGTGAGATATGGCCACTATCAAAATAATAAAAAACAACAGGTGTTGGCGAGAATGTGGAGAAATTGGAACGCTTGTGTACTATTTATGGGAGTGTAAAATGGTGTAGCCATTATGGAAAACAGTATGGAGATTCCTCAAAAAATTACAAATAGAATTACCATATGGTCCAGCAATCCCACTTCTGGGAATTTAAAGAATTAAAAGCAGGATCTCAAAGAGATACTTGCACCCTCACATTTACTGCAGCATTATTCATAGTAACCAAGAGGTGAAAGCAACCCAAATGTCCATCAATGGATAAATGGATAAAGAAAATGTGATGCATACATAGAATATTATGCAGCTTTAAAAAGAAGAAAGTAAATCCTATTATATACTACAATGCCAAGGACATTATACCAAGTGAAATAAGACAGCCACAAAAGAACAAATATTGTATGATTCCACTTATGAGAGGTACTTAAGGTACTCAAAATCTAGCAGCAATAAGTAGAAACATGGTTGTCAAAGGCTGGGGAAAAAGGAAGGGAGAAATTAGGGTTTAGTGGGTATGAAGTTTCAGTTTTGCAAGACGAAACGTTGTAGGAAAGATCTGTTGCACAACAAAGTGAATATATTTAACATTACTGAATTGAACACTTTGGTGTTGAGGTGGGGGTGCTTGGCTGGCTCAGTCGGTGGAGCATGTGACTCTTGATCTCGAGGTTGTTCATTGGAGGCCTGCACTGGGTATAAAGATTACTTAAAATAAAATCTGTTGTTGTTGTTGCTGTTTTCCAGGTTCATAATTTATTGTACAAATTGAGGATCACATGACGAGTTGACATTAGTTCCTCCAGGCATGGGAAATTAGAAGATAAGGTACACTTTAAAATCCATTTGTGTTGCTTTCACAGATGGTGTTGTTTTAGACCTTAACTTGAAGTATATGACAATCAAAGCAATACCTCTGTATGTGGCCAGTACACAATTCATTCTCCCTGTGAGAGTATAAGACTTGTAATATTTTTTAATACCAGTGAAATGGAATTGGGCATCAGTTCCTGGACCTACCAGGATTTCAATCTTGCAAAAGAAACCAATTCTGCTGGTTGTGTCCTTTAGTGCATGCAGCAACCCCATGGTCAGCTGGAAGAAAAACAATTAAATCTTTTTTTAAAAAATGGTTGAGGTGGTAAATTTAATGTTATGTGTCTTTTACCACGATAAAATAAATAAATAAATGTCAACACAGGGAAACCCAATAGCTGTCTTCCTGGCAAAATTCTTCCTCTAGTACTTTTCTCCACCGCCCCCCCCCCCCCACCTTACAGAATTATTTTTTCCAACTTTTTATTTTGTAAAATTAAAGAAAACCCAGATGAGTGTCTGGCTGGATCAGTCAGTAGAGCATGTAACTTTTGATCTTGGGGTTATAAATTTGAATCCCATGTTGGGTGTACAGATTACTTAAAAATAAAATCTTTAGGGGTATTTGGGTGGCTCAGTTGGTTGAGCATCCGGCTTTGGCTCAGGTCATGATCTCATAGTTCGTGGGTTCGAACCCTGTGTCGAGCTCTGTGCTGATGGCTCAGAGCCTGGAGCCTGCTTCAGATTCTGTGTCTCCCTCTCTCTCTGCCTCTCCTCGGCTTGTGTTCTGTCTCTTGCTCTCTCAAAAATAAACATTAAAAAAAAACTTAAACAAATTTTAAGTAAAATAAAATAAAATCTTAAAAAATTTAAAAACCATAAAACTCATAAGAATTGGATATTGAATACTCATCCTAGGTTCATTTAACTGTAAACATTTTGCCAAATATGCTTTCTCTCTCACGCACTCTCTATGCCTCTCTTCCCACACATACACATATATACGTATACATATAACATATACACACATATCTATACATAGACATACACACACACATATATAGGTATTTGCTAAATTATTTGCAGGTTAGTGGCAGACTTCATAACAATTCTAAATATTTCAGCCTATGTATCCTAAAAATAAGGATATCTCCTTCATAATCATAATATTACACATATTATTACACTTGGTCAAGAAAAAATTATTCATGGTAACTGTTCAAGATGATAAGGCAGACTGGCAGACTTTATTCAGGGAGAACTACTGCAATGGGCTTTGTAATATGGGAGAGAGCCTGAGCTCAGCTCCAACTCTAACAATGACAAACAGGAATTTATAAGGAAGGAGCAAGGTGAATGTTAGTTGATGGAAAATTACTAAAACGAAACATCAGAGAGACTGTGGCTAAACTCAATGATGGGGGTGCCTCGCTGGCTAAGTCAATAGAGTATGCAACCCTTGATCTTAGGGTTTTGAGTTCAAGGCCCACATTGGACATAGAGATTGCTTAAAAAAATAAAAAATAAAATAAATAAACTGGATGAGATCCTGCTGAAGGCAGGCCAGGGTGATAAGATATACAGGATAAGAGATGAAGAATTTAATCAGATATCAAGAGTGGTCAGATACCAATGGTGGCAGATTTTCCATATATTGACCCAGCAGGATTCTTGCTAAAACTATACTTGATGGGCCAATGACAGAGTCCAAGGTCAGGGGCATAGTGAGAAACAGGACTCAGAGGAACCTGACTCAAGTTTGGTCAAAGAGTCTTTGTCATATCTGAGAAATTTAACCTGGATACAGTATTATTATCTGCAATGCAGTCCCTATTCAAATGCCCCAATAATGTCTTTTATATGTGTTATATTTTGTTTTGCTTTGACCAAGGACATCCAATGAAAGATCACACATTGTATTTAGTTGTGACATCTCTTTTCGTCTCTTTTAATCTAGAATAGCATCCCTTTTTTTTTTTTTTTTGCTTCTTTTTTTTCTTTCATATCATTGACATTAGTTAAGAATCAGGACAATTGTTTGCCAAATGTCAATCAATCTGGATGTCTCTGATGGTTTCCTTACAATTAGATCTAAGTTAAAAATTTGGCAGGATGATACATTGTTTATCTGTACTCTTTTCCTATCTTGTGGTATGCCATAAAGGGTTAATTCAGCAGGCTTGGTTGCTTAAACTCTGCACATTCCAAAGAAAGGGTTAGACCTTGACCAGCTCCTGGGAGATAACCTCTCAGCCCTTAGAATCTGCCTGAAAAAAGTGTTTTTGTATGCCTTGGGCCTTGGGCCATCCTGTATGGGTTTGACCAGATAATTTATGCTAACAATTTGATTTATGGTGAATAGCTGTTTTCATATGCCTCAGGCCCTGGTCCATGCTGCTTGGGTTCAACCTCTGGAATCTGGTAATTGGGTACCTAAGGTCAGTCATATGGTGATACATGCTTCTAAAACTGGCCCTGGACAGTTATTTAGTGGCCCCAGTAAAGCCCTGGACACCACAGCTTGAGTCAGCTTCTTTGGTTGTCAACACTTCACACATATAGTCACATACGGTTGCTAGGAGAATTGAGTGCTGTCCGTGTGACCGCACTGAGAAACGACAACTAGTAGATTATTCCTAGTTTGTCCCAGACTTTGCCCCATGCTCCTTTTGCCCCATCCTTTTGCTGATGTTAATTCATATCCTTTTGCTATAATAAACTGTAACTGTGAGGATAACAGCTTTTTAAAGTTTTCTGAGTCCTTCCAATAAATCATCAAACCTAAGGGAGTCTTACAGTTAGTTTGCTTCATCATTGATGTTAACTTTGTTCATTTCATTAAGTTCCTCCTGAATTTCTCTGAAAGACATCTTTTCCCTTTGTAATTAGGAAGTATTCTGCAGAGTGATAGTTTGAGACCATGAATATCATGCTCTCCCACAGTCTTTCACATAATAGTTTTAGTATTTATTGATGATTCTTATATGAGTCAATTATTACAGGGCCAATAAAATAGTGATTTTTTTTTTCTGTAATAACATGGACTCATGGCTTCTTTCTTATTAATCAATGAACAATAACCCATTCCTATTATTATTTATTTGTTTATTCAAACTGACCAATATTTGACTGGTGGGACCCCCTTCAAGCTGGCTTCTATGTCCCCTTAGTTTTTCAGCACTTCCTTAATTTCTAATACTATAAGATGTTCCCAACTCATCTTGTCTTTTCCTACCCCAGCCTTGGAATTGACCATTTCTCCAAGGAGCCCTTGCTCCTTTTACTGTCCTTGTATATAAATTCCAGAGTCATCTCTGTCCTCCAGGAGTGATGAATAGAAAGCAGAGTTAAATTGTTTGTTAGGAAACTAGGAGAGAAATTCCAATCTGCTTACAACCTTAAGAGTCCTGGTTATAGATGAATCTTTGTATACTTCTTCAAGAAAACCTCAAGCATGCATACTTTCCCTATTCTCTCACTGGAATTAAATGTGTTTTATGTTGATACAATCCCCTCTCTATCCTATGATCTAACACTCTGAGAAGGTGGTCTAACATATAACAGGGTTCCAGAGAAGTCAAATTGTATTTTTTCTAAGTACTTTCTTTGTACTTTCTGACTTTCCAAATGTTACCAAATCTGGTCACAGCACACTACCAGGTCAGATTACCCCACATATGTCACTAATATTTCAGTTTAGTAGTTGAGGACCTATTGATCTCACCTCTTTATAGTAATGGGTGGCCCATGTTTGGAGTTTGGTTTAATTCTGAATTAAATGGGAAGTGATTGAAAGGTTTTGAGCAGTAGAGTTAAGTGATTTGGCTACATTTTAGCAAGATCACTCTGACAACTGTGTAGAGAACGGACTGAAGGGGATGTGGTAGGTACTGGAAAACACTCTCAGTGGCTTACTGCAGAAAGCATAATTGATTGAGGGCCACAAATGTGGCATTTTAAGGGCATGCTTTGCCCTGGCTGCTCTCAGCCAATGATTGAGCATAGCAGCGATACTAAGGCAGGACCCTTCCCTAGAATCACAGGACTCCTTTGACAGATGACTTTGACACGAAGATTTCCTTAACTGGACAGCAGCCTAAGAGTGTCCCACCCAAACTTCCTTCACTTCATCTGCACCTAAACTCACATCACAGTCTGACAGCTTTTCTAACCTCTCCTAACTCCCTCTTCGTTTTCTCCCACAGGGGCTTCTCATGAAAAATTTCTAGTGCATTTAATCATGTCTTGGCATCTGTTTCTTGGAGAACTAATAGAGGGGTCAAAGGCAGAAGTGGGAGACCAGTTAGAAGGCAATCACAATATTCCAAGTGAGACATGATGGTGGCCTGGAGCAGAGTGGGGGCAGTAGAGGTGGAGAGAAGTGATTAGATTTTGTTTGTTGTTGTTTTGTTTTGTTTTTTGAAGATGGAATTTACTAGAATTGCTGCTAGGATAGGATGAGAGAAAAAGAGGTCAAGGATGACTGCATTGTTTTTGGCCTAAGCAATTGAACACATGTCGTTGCAATTTTCTGACACGGTAAAGCCTACGAGAGACAGGGTTTGGGGAATAAGATCAGAAGACTAGTTTTGGGGGCACCCGGGTGGCTAAGTCAGTTAAGCTTCTGACTTCAGCTCAGGTCATGATCTCACAGTTTGTGAGTTCGAGCCCTGCATCAGACTCTGTGCTGACAGCTCAGAGCCTGGAGCCTGCTTCAGATTCTGTGTCTCCCTCTCTCTCTGCTCCTCCCCCACTCATGCTCTGTCTCTCTCTGTCTTAAAAATAAATAAAACATTAAAAAATTAAAAAATAAATAAATAAACATTAAATTTTTTTTTAATTACATAAAAAAGAAGGCTTGTTTTAGATATGTCAAGTTTGAGATATTACTAGATTCCCAAGTGGAAATGTCAGGTAGGCTATGGGTTTAATAAGTCTGGAGGGCAGAATAGAGGTATTGCCTGAATTTGGTAGTTAGCATACAGTTGGTATTTGAGGCTATGGAATTGAATGTGATCACCAAAGAATACTGTGATAGAAAAGCTCCAGTAACTAGTCCCAGAGCATTCTAAATTTGGGAGATAAGGAGTATTCAGCAAAAGAGACAAAGGAAGATGATACAAGTTTAGAATTGTCACAACTGCCTGGTGAAATTAACTGGCCATCACCGATCTGGTTTCCACCCATATAGTTTTTCCTTTTCAGAAAGTCATATAAATGGAATCAACTAATATGTGGTCTGAGTCTGGCTTCTTTCACTAAGCATAATGTGT